AACCAATAGTTTGTAACTAAAAAATTTGTAACTTTAAAAACTTTTCATAGAAACTGATTTGTGTTCACAAATCTTCCTTCACATAAAAGAATTTTGTTCAAAATTCTTCCATCACAAGCAGAAATTAACTTTGAATTCAAAATTGCAGTCATATTTTTTGCATCCATGATGACAAGCTTCATCAATATTGGGATGTGATGGATATTACAGGAGCTACTGACCTCTGTACCATTGGCCCTCGACCTCTCTCACAGTGACAGATGGTGACTTGATTACGTGAGTTTTCCTGTGTATTTTATTCTTCTTTTATGCCATGAGCTGGACTTGAAAGCTATATTTAGCACCTCTTCGAATTGATCAATACAATGTAGTTTATTGTGTAAGGCGATTGAGCCAGCTGACCAAAAAAATCTACTCACGTGTTCAAGGGTTGTTTCTTTCTCAGGTTCATATAATGTTCTACTCACGTGTTGAGGTGTTGTTTCCTTCCCAGGGTTCATAAAATAATCTACTCACTTGTTTAGGTGTTGTTTCCTTTCCCGCGTTCATAAAATGATCTACTCAAGTTTTCAGGGTTTGTTTCTTTCCCAGGTTCATAAAATGATCTACTCACTCGTTTAGGGGTTGTTTCTTTCCCAGAATCATAAAATGTTCGTTATCAACCATATGTTATTGTGTTCACACTATAACTGTTCAGTTCTTCTGAACTTCTTGATAAGTCATTATAACAGCATCCCAACATTATATATCATTAACTGATGTAGTAATTTTTGTTGGACTTTTTAAAGCGAGTCAAAAACACAATTCCAATATTCTGACAAGTCCCAATAATAAGAGATGTAGTGTGTCTCTCACCAAAGACTTGAGTCCCAGACTCAAATATCAGTAGTGATGGAGTCAGTCAAATATTTCTTAAACATCTTTCAATATGATATATGTGTACATTAACAATCCACAAACGTTAACGTAATACATTTCCAAGGGAAAACATATGTGATCAAATAAATGAATCAAAGCACACCGAACTAATGAGGAAACATATATGTAATGTGTATATACACATGTTCTCAAACTAATACTAACTTTATGGTCTCCAGTTTTAATATGTTAACTTGTGCATAACACACCTGAGCTAAATATTCCATGGTAGAGCTTGTACTGTGATCGATACCAAGACACCTGAATTATAAAGCAGGTCTGTGATCGAATATGTAGTTCTGACCTATTATCAGGGGAAACCCAAATATAGCCCAGTCTCTCTACCACTACATCCATCAGAGCTTTACTTTCTCTTGCTAGTCTCTAATTATCCCTAAACGACCTCTGACAGGTACCTGAGTTTATCTCATGTTCTGCTGTAGCTAATAATGTAGCTTGAAAATCAATCATAAAAATCAGTAGATGTAGAGAGCGCCCCCTAACACCCACCTCTACCACTGCATACCACTGACCTGTTCTAGTACAAGTTATCGAAACCGATTCTCCAGGCCTCTAACATGTAACCTTATATTCCTACTGACAAACTGGACTTTTATAAGTACATGATTTGATAACTTATATTCTCCAGAGTTACAGTATTTTCTTAATTGTAAGAAGATCAATATCATTTAAGCCTTATAAATCATTATCTCATACAACAGTACCTATACACAACAAGCATTCTATACAAGCAAATGTCCTGCTGAAATCCTACATATTTTCTCTGCAGTACAAAAAATCTACAATGTGAACCGGATTACAAGTGCCATCATTCAAAATCAATTCCTCTAGTCATCTTGCCAAGTCTTGCAATAAGATTGAAAACAGTCTCCCCTGTCATTCCTTATAACAAAATCTATATCTAGAAACATCATTTTTCCCCCAGAACAGACATATCAATCCAATTCTATGCTTCAGTATAAAAAATTCGAAATCTTTTGCCTTCAAATAAGTCTAGCAGCTATTGAATATTTTATTCTTTCTTTTGTTTTAACACACATGTGAACCACCTTTCTTCAAATATCTTGAGTCGTCACCAGATGATACTCTAGATACAAGAAAGTAATGTTTAAAAGTCATATGTTAGAAACAATAAACATAAGGTCTTGTTACAAATCATCATATAATATAATTCCACAGAGTTTGCATTACAAGTAATCTTATAAAGTTGGAATAATCAAACTTTAACCAAACCTAAAGTGACATACTTGTTTTACTTTAATCTTGTTTACACTAAATTAAGCAAATTTGATATTTCTTTTTAATAGGTTTATCCTTAATTTAAATCCCAAATACATTGATCAGAAGCTTTGACCTGAGAAACAAGTTAAATCACATCTTACATTCATATCCAGTATGAACATGTTGTAACACTTAAAATGTATCTTATACCCTACTCTTTTGTACTTCAGACATGTCATTTAATCTTAATTTTTATTGAAGTGACTTGGGAATGGAGCCCATGGCTTTGACTTTAGGAAATTGTGTGACAAAATTTCAAATTAGAATTGGAGAGTACCATCCAGATTTTTTTTTTAATTGCTATTATTTTGGGAATTTTAATGTATGGGTTTGGAAAAACAAAGGTAAATTTGCCACTGGCAATGGACCATTTTCAGCTCCAAATTCCATTTACTGAAAAACTGGGATATACTCTTCTTTAACACCATACCTTCTAATCAACATTTCATTTTTGGGCAATTGCAAACAGAAAAAAACGTTCATAATTGTGACATTATACATGTATAGACAGTAACAGCTAATCCCCATCCCCTCACCCCCCCCCCCCCCCCCCCCAAAAAAAAAAAAAAGGTTAGAAATTTGTTAAGGAACACTATATATTGGTCAATTCATTGGTTAAGACAAATGTTGAATTTTACTATGGATACAAGGTAGTTTCCAAAACTTTATGGGTCGAAGGAAGGCATTGTGTCACCTTAACCTATATTTAGTAATGATAATGAAGATTAACGAGATCCCACTTACTTAACAGGAGACAGACCAGATATATCAGTATCATACATTAACTATACATATATATATTTATATATGGCATATGTACATAGCATATGTTTGCCCCTATACATAATGAAGGGGAAACCCCTTGGTCTATAATGACAGTCATACCTTGACATGTACACACACCTTATCAATCATATTTACAGGTCTGGTGTATTAAGTTGTAGCTATATAAATAGGCAAGAATCAATTTATTCATGCAGTAAGTCTGAATCTCCAAGATAATTACCCCAAATTTATTTCATATTAAATGTTAAACCAAAGCCAAAGCAAATTATCTTTCCAGTACCACCAGCAAGTTCTGTGATTACAACTATTTGCTTTAAACTGAAGACTGTCACACAACCACATATGTGTATGTGATAGCTCATTAGTAGATTGTTGGCCTATGGTGGGAAACTCAGGTGAAGATCCTAGGTATGCTGTTCTTCTGTACAGCCACCAGCTATCATCAGGGCACCCTACCTCAAAATAGTATGACATGACTGTTCATTGGGTTGTACACCCAGCAAAATTCCACTCTCCAATATGTCTACAAAACCCCTCCCCATCCAATCCCCTTTAATCCTTGTCACTCACATGTCCCCATAGTACACATCCACACATTCCCCTAACACTTGTTAATATAAAAGTAATCCTTATCTATTCTGAACCCCTTTATCTCTCATCACTTTCACATCCCACTTGTACACACGAACATATGGTTACAGTTACACCATCTATGAAAAAAAATTTACCTATCTTCTTGTCATTGGCATCCTCATATACATTGTTATGAAAAAAACTGCTGCATGAAATGCTTAAAACGGATTATTTACCAATGTGTGTGGCAAAGTAATGTCATAATTTTACCAAAATCAATTGTGTATAATTACCAGCCCATTAAGTGCCAATGGTGCAGGAATTCATATATCACAAGTAATGCTAACAAATTGAAGTTGGCTCTAATTCCCCTATATTAGAATGGAAATTGAGAGTGAAAATGGCTTCTTTAAGCTGGTCTTAATTCCAGCATATGGGTAGTATAAATGTCAAAGACAACAGTAAATTCAATATGAAGCACTATGTGATGTGCTTCATAGAATTTGTGCTGATTCTGTTTGCATTCATGGTTTCCACCTTAACATGTACAGTAATTGTTTACTACATAGTGCCTTGACCACTTGTGTGTATTAGTATTAATTTCAATCAGTACTTAAGTATGAAAGATGTTATCTAACAACACGAATCCTAAGCATGCAAATTGTACAGTACCAATTTACATTTTCCTTATAAAGAATGAAGTGGTCCAGATGAAGGTCCACTGTCTATATAAATATAATCAGAAATAAAACAGACACAGGTCATATAACCTGTAACATAGTCAAAATTCAGAGCCTTGGACAACTTTCCAGTGATGTCAGTGTGTGTCATTGATTATTCGAGACAACAGTGTTGACAAAGACTTTCAAGATATAAAATATGCAAAGAAAAATCAATAATATCATACTTCTATGATCTGCATCCTGTTTCTGGGTTAACCCAAATAACACCATTGAAAAATTATTCCGTAAATTGTATAAATGTCAGATACGTGATTATTAGAACCTAGAAGTACTGTAACACGTGTCATGCCTTTGTACCTTATGGGTCAGTTTCAGTAAAATGAACTCAATGACATTCTTTGTTCGCCGTTCCACATGTGTTTACGACCAAAACAAAGAAACCCAGCTGGCTTTGTCCCGTTACGTCGAAGTACATCAACCAGTGTGTATTCCCCTGACAGCTGACTGGCGAAAACAACAGCACACGACGGCCCTAATGGAGCATAATTGCTGTTACCCATACACTCTTTCTTAATGATAAGTGAAAGTAGTAAAACTTAGAAATGATAGGTAAAATGGCATTATCATTTAGGCGCCTTTCATGGCAATATACAGAAAATATGGCCTCCTTGGCAAAAAATGAAAGCAGTTGGCAGCGAATTTCCGCAGTTCATGTAACATACAGACGTTAACTCTTACCTTACAGTGGCCAAACGAATTCACTGGATAATAATCTTCAGGATTTCACAACAAATATTCGCTGTTAAACGGACTTGCGATCGCATTTACTTCCTTCAGGATTGTTCCCCAGACTGCGAGGTCGTCAGTGTTTATGTCTTCAGTCTATGCGGAAATGAGGTGACGTACAAGTCACGTGATATTCACAGCAACGTAAACAAAGCCATGTGACTGGGCTATATCGATGTGAAAATGTCAACAAAGGGACCGCGATCCGTTGAAGATAATATTGTGTTTAGCTCTGTAAACATAGGCTTTATGCTGTCGTCCAGTAGACGGCCTCTAAACAGACTGGACAATGCAAGGTGTACGGCAGACCTATTGCAGTCATATAGCACGATCTGTGTTACTTTATAAAGATAATGAAACTGATATACACGTAGATATTTAATGTAGAGTTCGGGTCTGAAGTAGTGTATATGTAATCTCATGGGCTTTCAATAGGCTTAGCATCGGAAGAAAGCCAAGGGCTTGTAGTGATGCCTAATACTATAATTTGCGTGTAGATGTATATATGTATTTAAACGGTGCCTGTAGGTATTTAAAAAGAAATAAAAAAAATGGTTTAAACTAATAAATCAATAACTTATATTGACAGTTACATGTAAGGCCCTACGTTTTAAACGTCTAAAATATTAATTATATAATTACAAAATGTTAATCTATTGATAAAGTGATAAATATATCTATTGATATTAAGGAAACAATGGGCAGAGATATTGATATATTTATCCGTGAGGCAACAAATATTAACCATATGATAATTTATATTGATTATTTTTGCTAAAACTTCAACATTAATTCGCCTTGATGTAACAATATTACAAACAAATATCGTTATGTCAGTTTGTCACGTTTGGAAATCCCACATCCCCAAAGTTTTATTTAGGTCTATTAAAGAATTTATTGAAAATAAAAGGAAGAATTTCACGTTCGTTCGATCGGGGAATTGAATTCTGTTTGCTTGGTTTGTAATAAAGTACGCGCCTGTGGCCTCCTCAAGGAACAGAAGGCCCGGAGCTGAACCGAATATAGCTACCGATCCATAGAAAAGCAAAAAGCAGTAATCTTTTGAAAGATTCTGTTTTACGTAGTCAAATGAAGATGAAGATTATTAAAGGTAACCCCCCCCACACACACACACACATACACCCCCACCCCCCACCTCACACACACACACACACACACACACACACATACACAAAGACACACACATTTTTGTTATACTTCTTATGGGCTATCATGGCTCAGTGCTAACTCATGGACACATATACAAACGCCTTTGTTCCATTGTGGTTTGTTTTAGATCTGACTTGATAACAAATATACATAAAACATGAAATCAGAATGTGGTTAAGCGATCCTTATTAGCCTTGATGTTACTGATGAGTATAGCTGCAGCATTTGCTTAGCTTTTCCCCGAGTTTCGCAATAACACAGATATCTTCCTCGGTATCAGTTTCAAATGGTCATCTCTTGACCTTGACAAGGAAGTGGGTGTCATCCTTTACCTTCTCCGCCAGTCACGGTCAACTTTGGCATCTTCATACACTGAAAATATAGCAATATACGGGTAGAAAATAATCTGCAGAAAGTCCTGTCAATCAACATTTGCTGAAGGATTCGAAATGCGTAATGAATTTATTTATTTATTCATTTATTTATCTATTTTATTGTCGTGAGTTTAATTGGAAGAATATTAAATTAAGAGCAGCGATCTAGGATGTTGACCATTTACATTTATAATGAGGAAATATTATCACAATGTTTTGTTCCGTATTGACAGTTGTTGTTCATCCGATTTCGAGATGGATTGGAAGATGTGACAGTGACCATCGTAGAGAATTATTCTTACTTTGATTTTTATGCTAGCTTGAAAGTTTTACATTTTTGTTTTTAATCAGGAATAAAGAAAATTTCAGCTTATTATTGACTGTGATCAATATATAGTGTTGAACCCGAGTAATCTCATGTCTCTGTGCTCTGTTCTACAAGTTGTTTGCTCTAGATTGTTGTAAATCGCATCCCGCAGGGAAAAGTAAAACATCCACCAGTCTTCTACAGCAGGAAGACTGTAGTTTCCTTTTGCAGCGGGTGTGTCTTTTTTCAGAACGGAAAAAAAATGTTTACACAGCTAGGAAAGACAAGTTTTTACCTTCCGGTAAATTAAGAGGTTTCATAATATTAAATTACGCTTTTGAATTCAATTCTTTAATTTCACAAGGAAGAACATAATTTGTAAAGAATCCTTATCATATAACTGATTTTTAAAAAAAATGTTTTTCCGTCACCGACAGGAAGCAAATTCTTATGTTTTTCTAAACGCTCTTTACATGGGATTTGAAAAGGAAAAAGAAAGAAAGTAGGGACTGAAGAGCGTCACATACAAAATTCATCATACAATGTACACGATAAAATTGTGAGAACGGAAAATAGTTACAATAAATATTAAGAAGTTTCATTGATTTTTATAAAACTTCAAATATAAAAGCTTGCTAACACGTCAGATGTCAATTTGCTACTGTCGGTAACTAAGACCAAAAGCAATGTTAAATGAAATTTAAATCAATCATATGATACAACGAATCCTTGTAAACATGCCGCGTTATTGGAACAACTTCTAAAAACTGGTGTTCTTGACATTTGAATTTGATGACGATGGGAATCCATATCAGTACGGAAAGACGTTTAAAGTTTGTTTACAAACAGAAGTTGCACGCTGTGAACTATTCAGATATAAGCGAGATAGTCCTTCATACAATGATAAGTTCAAAGTGCCAGTTATTTATTTAATTAAAACATTCTTCTTTATTTTTTTCGTTAATCTTCGCAAGCGAGTGCTTAATTTATCATTTAAACATTCAGATTTCGTAATGTTTGATAATGCTGCATAGGATGTGCAAACTCGTCATGTTGTCATCATTTCAAGCCCGAATATCGCTAGATTATGTAAAGCAACATCTAAAATTCTCCAAGGAAAGCAAAATAATTACAGCGAACATCGGCGACAAGACAACTTTGGGGAACTTCGATTATGAGTTGTATTTTTTCAGTATCTGGTTGAATTCGAATTCGTTAGTTGATAACATTCTGACAGGTAATGTTGTAGAAGTTGTGTAAAACAATAATGTTTCCTCTTATATCTAATTTACAGTCTGTGAAGCAGGTGATGTCCTTCACCAATAAAGAATGCTTTGTCCTCGTATACACACACACCGTTCGGAGTTCGTAGCAAATGTTATGACAATGTAGGAAGACATCCCGCCCTGCTGCTTGAAACCACACAATGCTTGGCACAGATGGTAGAATTCATCCTTTCAGTTTACCGAGAGAGATCACGGACATCGATATACTGAAAGAGGTTATAATAAATATACAGACGTTTTAAAGTTTCTGTTTTACAGTTAACGAAGCTGCTTTTCTCATTATCGTAAGAACTAACTTTCATATGCAATGCTTTGGCATTGACAGAAGTCTTAGTCTCTTTTCACCGAGGCGTCCGGTTTTCGACATGAGAGTCCCCCGTCCTACTACGTGGGTTTTACCTGGTTTCCTTCTAGCGTAAGAACCCTCTCTCGCTTCGATCTGGGCCAACAAGAGTTATTTATATCAGCATATAGCTTGTTTCGCAATGGTTGTAAAGTAAATTAAAGTGTAAATTTCAAAGACGACACAAAATAAACAGCAGATGCGTCATAAAGGATTTAGTATTACTGAGAAGCTGTTAATCTCTTGTTGCCTAGCAACACTTATTGTTTAGAGAAACAACGGATTTTTATATCATCCGACTTTGTACATTGTCTTCAGAGTAATGTACTACATAATTTTCATTGACATAGCGTCCATTTTCAGGGTTAGAGTATTTCTGGTCACCCAAAAGATGTAAAAATGCTCTTCTAGAATGTATTAAAAATCTAGAATGGAAATTAGATGTGTGAGAGGGACAAGAATGCCCTCGAAGATAACAAAGGGAAAGTTTGGAACTTCTTCATGTCTTTGTTTAGAACTTAAGTCCTGGCAGAAGGAAGATTGTTCGTATCGTTTTGTGAAAATTTTGATTAGAATTCTCAAAGTTATTATATTTCCGAAACAAAAATCCGAAATTTACACGTATATCATCATTATACAAATACATACAACATTACAGTTCTACATCTCTATCCATGATAGAGTAAATGAGTAGAAAAGAAGTTATGACGGAATAGCGAATGACTATAACAGTATATGTTGACGAATGCATCTTAACCCGAACACACGGTAAATGATGCTGACGAATCTTTCAATAATATCTTTATTATTCTATTGCTTTGTAGGAGTCCAAATACGCTTTTCACTGAAATGAAGCACCCTTCTTTAGGTTATGTAGCTGTTATTGTGTATCGTAGGGATCTTTGTATACATGATTATGAAAAATTAACTTTTGCAAGACATTTTACTTAACGATATTTCCCCTTATTCAAGAATTCATTTTAGACCAATATGTTTGAAAATTACGCTTAATCGATTTTATTCATAGCTTACAGCATTGACCAGGCCGTCTGATGAGTGAATCGAAGATTTATCAATTGTTACCATCAATTTTCACTAGAGTTGTCGTTCCTTACAGTCAAAATGTAGAGTACCGCAATGTACCAAATTAAATTCCCTTGTCACAATGAACAGCTCCCATTTACCGACCAACATTTGTTGACACCTCAGTCTTTCAGCAGTTATTGCTGCCGTAGAGACAATCTTCATCACATTATAAAACTACCCTCGTCTCCAGTGTCTGCTAAACGCGTTACCTTTAGAGGATATTGCAGTACAAAAAATCGCACCACAAGCAGCCGTTTCGAGGCAAGTAAACGTGATTTCATGGCTTTCATCTCCACCTATACTATATAGTCTTTAAACGTGATAACAGCTTCGATAATATTTTGTGATAACACAAATATTTGAGAGTTGAAAAAAATGTCTTTAATCTTTCATTTTCTACCATTTCACTTACTTATACAACTTTTCTCCATCTTTTATCGGATACAGGCAGTATCAAGTTTGTAAAAGTTTGATGA